AATACCGCCCTTTAATGCTCTTTTTAGTGTCTCCAAAAATTGAGTCTTTACAACAGTTAATGAAATGGAACATTTATTGAGACGTTTATTGATAATAATATATTTTTTTAACACATTTTGTTCATTTGACCATAATTTAAAATTTAACATACCTTTTTATTGATACTAGAGGTCTTATCATACATAGCAGCACTAAATAGAAGATCTGGACATAAAATCAACAACATAGTTTGTAGTGGCCAGAACGCTTTATAGCTAGTATGAGCTAAATTATTACAAATCTCAAAAAGTTTTTCAGGATTGCCACCCATTCGTTTTTGAGTTTGACATAAAGTAACAAATTCAGCAGGAAAAACCTCAATCCAATTCCAAATAGCTTTACGAAGTACAGTTGCCATTACAATTTGAGCCGATCGTTTCAAATTGCCTATAGAGTCACATAGTTCTATATAAACAAAAAAAAATTTATAAGAAAAAATAATTAATAATCAAGTAATTCAAGTAATTAAATAAATTTAATAAATTTTAAAGCACTTATATTAATACCTTGTAATACCATAGATAACCTTCTTGAATTAAGATCGGAAACCTCCAACAATTTCAATTCAGCAGTTTCAGTCCAATTATCATTAGCAGCAGCTAAATAAGCAATTCTATGCCTAATTCTCGAAAAAACCACATTCCAATTTGAAGCGCTTATATAAAAAATAACTCTTCCAGCATTTTTATAAATCTCACTAATAATTTCGAAAGCATCAGATCGACCAACACCACCAACACTTACAGCTCCACCACTAGAGATACTATCATCATGACTAGCCATTAAATGAAGAAATTTAGATAAAACGTTTAAAATGTGAGTTGCTAAATGTTCTTCTAATTGTGGAGGATCATCCCAAGACTTTGGGGGTTTAAAATTTTTGGCATTGCCGTTAAGATTAGGGGTAGGAGGTGCAGATCGTTGATCATTATTTATAGATGGAATTTCATTACGTGCAGTTGGAGAAGTTGGAGAAATGTCGGTATCC